TTTGGAATATATCGGGATATGCCAGGGTCAGCCTTGATGATTCGTAGCTGTAAACTAGCTTAAACTCCAGAGGCTCTTTGTCCTAGGCCAATCTGCTGCTACAACTCCCCAAATTTGATATTAAGGTAACATTACACTGCACTCAGCTCTATTGCTTTTCACAACCTTATGTAGCTAGAGAGACAATTTCTCAGCTTGGCTTGCTCGGCATCATCAGGCGCGCGAAGCAGAAATTTCTTGACGACAAGGCTCTTTTCGCAGTTCGGACATGCCTTCACGGGTTGTGATGAGCTGCAGATCACTCGACTGCGGGACAAGTGGATGTGCGCCTCAGCGTGGAATGATGACATGACAGTGCTGATTCAAACATGGACTTGTCTCCTCGATACAAGTACTACTCATGTTACCTCGCTGGTTGTTACAGCGGGGATGATACTATAGTAATACAGTATATAGGGAGTCTGATATTGCCTCGAGATATTACTGGAAAGAATTAATTGTTGGTGTGTCGTACAGAACGAGTTGAATCGAATGGATGCTTTAGTGCGGGCACTGTGTAATGGCCCATACAAAGAAGTAGCTTCGCGCTTGAGAAACTTTGATAGAGAGGCTGACTCTCATTTCACAGCAATATAATTGGACAGGTTGGCATATACAGACAAATTGCATGTTGAGGGAGTGTCGATGAAGTTGGTTTCCGATCCCTCCCATCGGGTTTGTTCGCGTGGCGTTGCTGCTTCCCTTGGCACTTTGCTGCTTCCAAACACGATTCCCAGTCGCGTGCCTGGTCCGGGATCCCGCTGCTATATCTAGTCTTGGCAGTCTTGGCGTGGGGAGAAATTCCAGAGCCAATCACACGTGCCAGCCTTATCTTAACTTCAACGCTTGCTGTCAATGCTTTACGTTACTCCCAGCGCGCCATTTTACTGCCGCAAAACGTTTGTCAACTCATCAGCAACCGAATGCTTCCACTGCTGCCCTTTGACGCCAGTGTTCATCGCCGCCGGGGACATGAGAAAATGCTGTGGTCAGACTGTAGTCCGCATTTGAGCGTGCTGTGAAATTTTCTATCAAGTCTCCAGGCACGATAAAAAAGCTTCTAGAAGGACCACATGCTCACCGTGCATAATTCGACACACAAAACTTGCATTGTAGTCCTTTCTGACGCCAAGAGACGGGCGAATCGAGTTCTTTAGGCTTGATCGAGCCACTGATGCTGCGTGCCAGCAAGTTGGGTTTCTAGGGACTCTATCAAGACTGCACAGGCAGCCAATGATCGAGCTTCATCTCCCTGTCAGCCAAGTTTGGACAGACGTCATTCGCTTTTCTTATCAGCTATCATTTGAGATGTGCAAGAGAAAGCAAGCTGTGGCAGCTTCGTTATTTGATATCCTCGCAGTAGTCAACGCGTTGTTTGGCCTTGCAGACGAGTCGACGACCCATGCCAGTCAGAGCTGCGATTTGCACTCATCCAACCACGATCAACACTGCTCTAAGCTTGTTTCATGGCGGGCCAGGCCGTAGCTGATGACATGGGCATCGTGAGTACAGACAGTCCCGGGGAGGATATACATGAAGAAAAGGAATAGAAAAGCTCCATTTCATGCACCTCTGCACCAGTGACCTGGTAAAAATCTCCCATTAGCCAAATAGGAGATATTAGTATCTCAAACTAAGGCGGAACAACAACTTCAGCTTCTTTATACCCTGTGTCTTGCAAAAGAAAAAAACCTTATATTCGCGGGTCAAATCCAAGTCCAGATGCCAACTTTAAGATAGCCCGCAGCCTGATTCTTTCCGCCTATTCAAAAGAGACAGTATTCGCAATACCGTGAATTCCCCCCATCGCTGCTGTGAAAGTACATGATGCAAATGACCCTATTCACGTTCAAATCCAAGAACTCCCAAGACCAACCTCAACCAACCCAAACTTCCCCATCTTTGCCATGCCCTGCGCGTAGTCGAACCGCGGACAAGGGCCTTATCTCTAACATGCACGCCATGAAATCACACCAAATACTTCGCCAAACGGTCCATAATAAAAATAGCAAATCCTTGAGCTTAAACATCAATCTCGACAAGCGAGCCGTCCTCTCGTCACGAGTGTCTGTCAATATACCAATGATCAAAATCGAATAGCTGGCCTTATGCGCCACCTCGTCATCCCGCAATTGAGATCTCGATAAGACAGCGCTAGGACGCATAAATCCTGGCAAGGCTGAATGTCAGCCTTGTCAGTGTTGTTGCTTTTTGGGCATGTCAATATCTCGTAGGCCAGTAGTGATGTAGTCCTTCTCCTTGGGTATATTCGACGTCAGGTTATTGCATTGAAGTTATTGTGGAAACCGGGAATATGAGCGTCTACATATCTGCATTGCAAAGGCGAATCCAAGCTCTGCTGTCCGTCTGTCAACTGTCTTCACTGCAGTGGATGACGACTGGATATTTATTCAAATACTGTTTTGGAGCTATGCGCCTATGGTTGGCTGGACCACTAATTTCCAGTGCCTATAGTCTATAACCCATACTGGATTCACTAACCAGACACCAGGATATCATACACTGTGATCCCCGTTCTTGTTCTCCCTTCGCTTAGCCTTAATTCAACTAACACTACTTTAGTATCGGAAAAACTCCAGAATTTGCACAATGCGACTTGGACCTAATGCTCCGTTGTGCTCATTTCTATCCTTCTGTGATATTGAACATATCCCTTGGGCAGATACTGCCATCGGATCGTCTTGAATGCTCCTCAGCATAAGTAAGTTATGGCAGCTCGTACTAGCCTGAAATTCTGCATTTCCCATGTTCTCCTGTGCGTAGGCGTCGGCGGCCCAACATACACTTGTAGCGGATGTGTTCTTGCCACAGGCCACAGACTTTGGAGATCATTGCCACCAAAATAATGAAAGATTCGTGAAAACACATCACTCCAAAGCAGATTGCCCAGCACTTTCAGAGGTGTGCCTCCATAAAACGACCGTCTGGATCAAAGTCTGCTTTAACGACTATAACATGCCGGCCAAAATCACCTGGGGTTGGCTTGGCTAAGGGAGTGCGCTCTACCATGTAGGAGTCGTAGGATTTCGAGTCAATGATTAGGAAGTCACCATGTTCCATGCCAGGTAGAATGTGTGAAGAGCTTTGAAAGGGCTTAGAATGTGCAACGGCGCCGTTGCTGTCGTTGTCTTTGAGGCTAGCTTGTTGGCCGCCGATTCACTGTAGTTTGAGATGGGGTTTCATTTGCTCTAAACCATCAATCCATGTGCCCCAGTCGTGAAAGTCTATTTTCAATTTCTCTTTGTGCCTGTCTCATTCTTGCTCGGTCTGAGAGAAAGTAAGCCCAATAAGCGACAAACCCGTAGTCAACTCTTTGATTCTCCGGTTTGCGTGACTTCGAGTTCTCGGTCATAGCTTCAAGTTCCGGAAATCCAAGGTTCTGCGCCTAGCCGTTTGAGATCACCTCGAATCTCTTTTTGGAATATATTTCGGGCAGCAACAATTCTGTGGTGATAACTGACCACCTAGGTACCTAGGTTCTTTGCAGTGATCAAGTTCTCGTTCGATGGCCGAATAAATTTTCGCAGTTCCGTCTGTATATCACTTACACCTGCCTTGTGTATTCGCTCTTGATGCTTTTTGCTCCTTTCTTTAACAGTGAGGTTGAATGGGTTTTACCTTTTCATGCCTTTGATTTCTTCCGCATCTACGAAAATTGTGTGGTCCGCACGAATCATTGCTCCTCTGATTGAGTATGTCGTGGTCACAAACTGTTCAGCCACCAATTTAAATTCTTGGGAAGATGTTACAGGAGTCGCTTCAAAGTTTGCAATTGTTATTCGTATAAGCTCTTGAGCTCGGTTGACGATCCACGAGTGCGTTCGAATAGCCACAATCTGAAAGAAGTCCTAACACAGGAAGCCCATATTGCACGGAATCGATAACGGAATCGACAAAGCGGCTTCTCGTCACAGTGCTCCGCCAGAGCATTCCCAACTTCCAGCAAATCGTTGAATATAGGATTGTAGGTATCGCGAAGCTTCCAGTTGACGACGTCAGAATTTAGGTACGAGAAAGCAGAGATCAACGCTCGGAGGTACTCAGCAGCCATTTGAAGGTTGACGGTGCCATCGCCGTTCTTTTGTTTCCACTGTTCACCGGTCATGGGACTGAGTCCAGACCAGAGGCGAGACTGGATAGCTTCGATAGGCTTCTTGACTTCATTAAGCCTTGCACCATCCTCATAGCTGCCAACGTGGCCCATCTTCGTATGCGTGGTAACTTCTGCCTGACATGGAAGAGTTTAACCTTGCAAGAGGGTGATCCAGTCCCGATAAGAGATTCGGCATTTGCGCCTTATTTGACCGAGGTGGCTATGGCTCGTTGAATACAGTCATTGGTGGTTGCGTTGAATAGTGTTGAGTTTGAACGAGTCCCAATAGAGAAATGATATGGATATAGGAGAAGAGAAATAGCAGATACCGCATCGATATGATATACTTTCCTACTAGTGCCAATTATAGATGCTGAGGTAACTCAAGAGAATTGAAATCCGGTTCCGTCTTATGTCATATCAGGATGATACATAAACAGAGATCCTATATTGGATTCAGGTTTAAGAGTCCTACTAGGCGGCGCTGCCAGACAGGCATTGATTCGCCCAATTTGTGAATGGAAGAATTTACTTGTATTCGAACGACATTACAACTTGGATCAATTATAATAAAAAAGATTGTCCTGAAGTCTAACCGGTAGTGCTATACCACTGTATTCTTATGGATTCGGCATCTAAGGATAATAAGCACTTACCTAAAGTCCACGGCATTACCCACGTCACGAAACAACGATAACTGGCAAGATAAATAATATGCTCAAATGTCAAATTATGCAAAACGTCCAACGAGAATTGAGTAACCTCCAGTTTGGGTGAATATGATCCAATGACAGAGCTAGGAGAATATATACGTTTGGCCGCTGATTTTGTGTTTAATACCAAGCTTGCTTCGGTGGTTTAGTGGTAAAATCCATCGTTGCCATCGATGGGCCCCGTGTTCGATTCACGGCCGATGCACATTTCAAAATGTATGTCTATGTGCAAGCGGATATTTCAATATATCGTTTTTTTTTGGTTTCTATGCAATAAACATTTTTATAGTTGACTTCACTGATGTATGGTACCTGTATGTATGTTTTGATATGCTTGGGTGTTATTTCTGCTCATGTTGTGAGCTTTTGTATTATTTTAAAAAGATATATCTCTTCAAGACGACTAGAATATCCTAATTATTCATTAACGGCATTTAGTTAGCGCTCTATCAAATACTTACTACCGTACCTAAGTATCTAGAACCTTGGTGAATACTTGTAGTATAATCGATCACTCAACCCCTACTTTAGCCTAGCACTTGCTGATCTACCCAAGTCTTGTTGCATATTAGAGTATTCCTTTTTGTCTTCACTCGCAACAACAACACCCACGACAACCAATCTCAATCTCGCACAAAATGACTATCAATTTCATTCTCGGTGCCCAAAGGGCTAAGTCTGCCTTGCCTCCCTTGCTTGGAATGCGCTCTTCCGCTGCGCGCCGAGATCGGTTGGCTCTCACGTACTAATGATAACGTCCTAGCCGACGAAGGCGTGACTAAAATACGTTTCGTGGGAAGGATTGATTAGATCTGGTACGTGGGAATGATCCTTAGATCTCAGGGTTTGTAAGTTGATCTCTGGGCAAAGACGTCTAAAGCGTACGCGCTGGGCTCCACATGGATTGTCTGTAACATATCGACGATGCCATAACGCAAGGACAAGGAGGCATGCCAAACCGTCCGGTGTAGAAAGGTATAATCATTTAGTTAATACGAAATAGTGTATAGAACAGATATGTAGATCTCGTTAGCATCTCCAGAGCCCAGCAGCTCACATAGTCCCATTTCTCCAAAACCCCCACCGCCGTGGTTTACTTCGCCTGACATCCCAGCTCTTAGTCTGTCTCCTCGCCAACCCACCCTTCTCCGCCAGGCCACCATCATCCTCCACACTCGCCAACTTCGGCGTCGATCTACGGAGGAAGTTTGACAGCAGACTGCGTGTCGCTGGTGAATCTGAACTCGAGCTCGATAGCCCCGTCGCAACTGCCTGACTTGGAAACTTGGCTGGCGGACAAGGCGTGGGCTCTTGATACTCGATCATACTGAAGCCATCTGCGCGCCTCGCAAGAACGCGCTTCGGATCTAGAATGAGTGGGCGGCCGGCGGGTGTGAGAATAGAAGTGGCGCGTGCTTGGAAAGAAGAGATGAACGATGCAGCAGAGTCCATAGCGGATGAGGCGGCAGATGATGGCAGACTGTCGAGACCGCCGAGTGGATCAGGTTTGGTGAGACGGTTTCGTGTTTCGTTGATGCCGAAAGCGAGACCAACGATGCCAATGGCAATGCCAAAGCCGATGCCAAATATGCGCAGACTCGCGTAGCCGAGGGACATGTATACTTGGTTTTGGTTTTGTGGGTCGCGAGGCCATTCTCTAACGCTCAGCGCGAAGAACGAGCTCATGAATGAAAGCGGTAAGAATATAATTGTTACAACGGTGAAAACCATTATGGTCACTGATTGCCTCTCTCCGTCTTGAGCGACTTTGGCTGAGATGTGGGCTTCTAGTGCGTTTGCCTGGCGTTGTTTCATGTCGAAGAGAGTCTTGATATTGTCCTGAACTGATTGGGCGTGAGCGGTCATATCGGCGATTCTGTCTCGACGTAACTCGATTGCTTCTCGAGTTTTTTTCCATTTCTTGTTTACTGTAGGAGGAATCGGGTTTACTGGGTACTCTAGCAAGTCCGCCATCTTTTCCATAACAACCATTTGCTCTTGTAGTAAAGAGTCAATCATGTTTAGTTCTTCGGAGACATCCTTGATCTCGTTGAGCATGGTGAGCTCATTCGATATATCAAGGAGCTCATCCAGAAGTTTTCTGTGCATCTTTGCCTGAACGCGAGCGTTAGTTCTCTCAGAAAGGTCGGCAAATCGGTTTTTCATGTGCGTAAATGCAACAGATTCTTCGTTGGTCTACGCTTTGTTAGTTTTGGTATTGGCGAGGATGGTCATCCTACAATTTCTTGGATTTTACGCTCATAAAATTCGAAAAATCTTAGTTTCTCGTTTCGATGAGAGGCTGAATCGAATAGGACTTTGGTACAGAGCTCAATAATCAGGAGCATCATGTCAAAAGGGGTATCGAGGGGTGATCGGTGTCGATTGCTAAGCTCTTTCGCAATCATATTGGCAATATCTGCATCTTTGATAGGATTCGTTTGGTGTGGATCAACCAAGCCCCATCTCTCTGGGAATGCAGTGATAAGTGTATCTGTTTATACAATTAGCAAGGCATTGTTACAAGTATTTCTAAGCATACCATCTTCTAACATGACCATCCATAGTTGATCTACCATCAAAAGAAGTGGATCCTGGCCCTTCCACTCCTTTTGCGATTTCATGAACCTTTGTACAACTTGATCTTGATTTCTCGGTGGAACATCTTCCATTTCTGATTTGTCAGAATCAAAAGAATCGTAGTAAAACTGATCGAGTGTTCTCCGAATATGTAGAGGAATATCCTTTTTCAGGTAGGCCCATAGGGAATTCTCATCAGCGCTGTGCTCCTCAGATCGAGCAGGCCATTTCCTGGCACCATTTCGAATGCGATTGACGGCTTTCGCCATACTCTCGCGCTTCTCGGTATATTCGTAGTGAAGATAGGGCATCTGAAAATGTTAGAGCATTCTTCTAGAGCTAGAAATAGCTTACGAAGAGTATCATATCGGCAGATGGAATGTCTTCTGGGATTCCATAATAAGGCAACACACGGCACCGAGGAGTCATGTGTCGAATGTGAGTCAATTCCGGGAGTGGACTGGCGATCACCATATCCTCCCAATGCGATTTATCCGTGATACTCTGAAATTTGCGTATGAAATAAGCTCTTTGTCGCCCATTCTCCTCATCGCGTTCGCGATACGTTCTTTGGATAAGGTCCTTGATCCAAGTCAGATTGTTCGCTGGCAAATGGAGCCAACGAAATTTTCGGTTCCCTTGCTGCGATTCTTTCGAAGTGGCCCGGTTCATCAAATGGCGCGGTCCATGTTCATAGATCAGGTCGTGAACGCTGGGATTGCGGAGAAAGGTACGTTCTTCTCCATTCACATCGTAGACATCAGCAATCTTGGCGAAGAGACCCCGAGTACTTTGATAGTCATTAACCTACAATTTGTTAGTCTCAGATTGCGTTTAGAGCTGACACGGTCTGCAAAGATATTTGGTGAATAGTAGGTCTCTTAGCGCATTTGGTGGCATCCTTTAGCTCTCAGTTGAAAATACTCTCTATGAGAGCATTCGAATGCGCTGGCAGCATCACTGACTTCGGTATATTTCAAATCCCATCAAGATATGTGATTAGATACGGGAAAAGTATACCTTAAGATGTGGGGCAGGAATCCAATCGTCCTGTGCTTTTCGTACTGCTGGTCCCAGGATCAGAGGTCTATCACGAAGGAGATTCGTGATCCCATCGTTTTCGAAACCCTCTGCGTAATCAAACGCACTTCTGTCGTCCGAGTTCACGGCGCCTATATCTGCGCCCTTTTCAAGAAGCATGCGAACGATTTGAGCCTTGTTGGGAATTTGTGACCGCACCGCGAGAATAAGAGCAGTGTCTTTAGCCTCGTTCAGATGCGCATTGACACGGATGTTGGCATCAAAGAGAAGCTGAAGAGTCCTTACATCGCCTGTAATCTGTCAGTATAAGGTTACAATCGGAGCTAACACTTTTAAGGGTCCAAGCCATTGGTTACAATGAGAAATGCGATGGAATCTTACCCTCAACGATTGTGGCTTGCAGTACTTCGTTTAGCAGCTCGTTAGTTGGGAATGAGCTTCGATGGGCATCAATGAGGCTGATGATTAGAGGATCGTCGCTGTTCTGAATTGCCTGAACGAGCATCTGAGGATATGCCAGGTCCACGAGTCCTTGTATTACATCGCTGATCAGCTCGTAGTTGTGGTCGTGGGGCCCATCGAATTTGTTCATGGTGTTGTGGTTGACTTTCTCCAAAGCAAAGCTGACTGCATTGGTCCAATCCAGCACTGCAGCTTGCTTCGGGACGATGATTCCGCGATCCTCAACAGGTTCAGTCTCGTAGAAGCATCGGATTGGCCTGTCTAGGGCTCCCTTGGCGCTTTGAAAGTCGACGAGTAGGTCGGGCAAGGCCTCAAATTCATCGAAAAGACTTGCCAAGTTCGTTCCCGAGGCGTAGCCGTCTTGATTGCTGACTGGTAAGGTGTCTTTAATAGCATTGTGTATCTCGGCATCGACAGGACGGAATGCAGTCCCCAGGCATACTACGCCAATGGTCCTTTCACACAAAGGTGCATTCAACAAGGCTTTGAGTACAATCAAGCCTCCATATCCATGTGCCACGAAAAGCAGTGGCTTGTCCGGGGTATGCTCTTTTATGCGCTCGCGCAAGGCTTCTGCACATCTTTCTAGATGCAATCTTAGGCCGCCATTTTTCTCTCGCGCTGGTGTTGTATCATATCTAAATGCTGATACTCGTAGGTTGCGTACTTGCGAAGGCAGCATATCGGCATCGGCCAGCCAATTGGTAGTTTTGGCACCGGCTGCATTGCGAGGATTCGCAGTACCCAGTGCTGACCAGGCATTGTCTGGGTTATGGTCGAGGATGCCATGGACAGCGATGAGATCGAGATATGGCTTTGCAGGAGCTGGGACGGCGAGAAGTTCTAAGCGCGGTACGGCTGGTGGACGATCCTGTTTGTTGATTGTTGGTTAGCTGGTGCATACGCGTACTCGAGATCAGACGGATATGACTTACCCCTGAAGTGGGGAAGACGGGAGAGGCCATTTCGGAGTGCTACATGCCATTTGTGGTATTCCCTAGCTGCAAAAAACGCGGTCTATCCAATTCAGGCGTTCCGGGGATTTCAACAGTGTCAATTGAACACTCTGGAACTCTGTGATGAAAATAGGCGGCTACACATAGTACAGAAAGGCGCGATGGT